GACGAGAAAATTTCTGAGGTGATTCTTCTTTTGATAATTTCTTAAATAATATTCGTGGGACCGTCCTGATGGGAGCATGTTCTCACTTCTCATCCTCATCAATAGTAACTAACTCATATATATGCATCTAATTGCTAGTCCAACTTTGCTCTTTTCAAAACTGATTGTGGTTCATTGTTTAAGGGGTGCCGAAAGCCTCTCCGTTCTCTTTCAGCTCTCCTTAAGTCCATTACGCTAGCTGACCAATCCTAACCTCAGTATTCTATTGCCTAATCCTTACAAAGTAACGAACCGGATAGCTGATGTGGCAATCGGTGGTTGCAGTCATTTGCCCAAAGACGTCAGTTCGAGAAGAAAGCAAAGGAGGTCTTGGAGGCCACGGAGGGAAAAATGAAGGAAAACAAGGTCATGGAGGATGATGTCGACAAGGAGGAATACAAAGAGGTAGCGTAGTTTCACCATAACTACCTACTTATATGTGATTGTAAATGATAAATCGAACCGTTCATTGGAATGGCAACTCCTATTCTTCTCTGCACTATCCACTTCCATCCAATTCATCTCGTCGGTCCTGCCCCTTGCTCTCCATTCGTGTGTCACCTACATCCTTACCATACTCTTACCTCACTCTTTTACCCAACACCCCCTTTTATTTTTGGGTTCAACTTCAAGTTTCTCTTGAAAGCAACCACAGAAAGGTCCGCTCGTGATGAATATCCCCAGAAACTGAAAATTTTCGGGACTTTTGGAAAATTTTTGAGCTCAGAGAACTCAGACTTCTTTGGGCATCGTCTTGATCATTCGAACCTTTTTTTCTGTATGAAGCTAGAGCTTAAGTACCTCATGTGGAGCTTGAGTATGGCTACTTGCTGTTCAAAGTCATTCCTACGCTTCTTCTCACTTACAAATGCTTATTTTTCAGGTTAAGCGTTCTCGCGGAGGAAAGGCTGACGACGACGAGGAAGATTTGCCCCCAAAAAAGGGAGGCAAGAGAAAGATGATGAAAGATAAAGACACCAAGAGAGGAAAGAAAGAAAGGAATGGTGATGATGAAGATGATGAGGGTGAAAAAGACGCGAAAAAGAACAAGGAGGACGAGGAGGAGGTAGAGCTTTTCTCATTTTGCAAAAAGGGGTGTATTCCCCCAACATAGTCTCATTGAATCATTTTTTTATCCTTCACATTCAGTCCTCAGTGAGCAAATTCAATATTTTTCAGGAACAGGAAATTCCCCGGTATAAGGAGTATGAGGATGAGGAGGACGAAGAGCATGAGGAACAGTACGTTTACCTCATTCTACTTTCATATTCTAGTACTAAGTTATTGTGGGTAGTATAAGGGCGCATGAAAACTTGCAAGCCTTCAGCGGTATTCGATGGGTACCGATCAACAAGCGAAGTAAATATAAACAGTTTATTTTCCTCATAAAATCGTTCACCGAGCTGCTTTGTATTCCTGCTGTTTCTCTTTGGGCCGAGACGACTCGGCAAACATATCGCTTGTCCGCTTCGGGCATGCACAATACTGGGCATCCCCGCCTGGGAGGCCGGGTACTCCTTGTCCACCAGGCTGTCCATCTTCACCCTTCATACCATCCTTTCCTGGAGCTCCCACGATACCTTCTTGACCTGGGGGTCCTTCGTTTCCGTTCATACCTGGAGCTCCCGCGTTTCCGGGAACACCTGGCATCCCAGGTCCTCCAGCTGGTCCTGGAGTTCCTACACCGCGAGTTCCCTTCGATCCGTCTGCTCCTGGGAGTCCCGGTGCTCCTGGCTCTCCCCGTTCTCCAGCATCTCCTGGTTCGCCAGCCATTCCAGGTGTTCCATCGGATCCTGGTGGCCCATCGGCGCCGCTTTGACCATCTGGACCAGCTTCTCCTACAGGACCATCCGGTCCAGGAGGTCCTGGTTGTCCGACTGGGCATTGGATACATCTGAAAGGAACGACTGGATTGAAACGAAAACTGTAAAGAATATGTGATAACTCACGAAACGGGTTCATTAGGCTTTCCGATCATGCCGATTCCGTTGTTACCGCGACCAGCCGGTTGACCTGGAGCTCCGTCCTCGCCAGGTGCTCCGCTCTCACCAGGTGGTCCAGGAGCTCCTGGTGGACAAGTGTTTGGCTGTGCTCCACAATTACAGTAGCCGGCGCCTCGTTTTTCTCTGCCAAAGACTGCACTGATGGATTCAAAGCTGCTCACTTTACCGCTATGAATCATCGTATCCCAGGCATCATCGGCGAATTGCTAAAACGAACAGATTTGGGACCAACTCGACTACCTCTGGCTATATTCAACTTACCTTGAACTCTTCCAAATCGGTGACAGCATCATCGTAGAATGAGTTGATGTCTTGCAACAGTAAACCAAAACAGACAAGGGCAGCCACAATGGCTATCCCGCTGGCTCCGGATGCGAACGTGACGAGGGCCTTCGCGGTCATTCCGTTATCCGGTGGTCAGCTTTGTTGGTCTCTTCCTTATATATCGTATATATGATCATACGGGGTTTTTATCTCCTGAACTCCAAATAGCGGCGTTCGGCTTATAAAACTCGATAACCCGACTGCGATAGGGCTCCTCGCTGTACGGGATACGGCGGATTCTATGCGTCGTCGGGAACTTAGCAGCGTCGAATTCTTCGCATTGCGTTGTTTATGTCTATCGCATCCAACGGAAAGGCGATCAACGGGGAGAATAGCTGCAGAATAAGCAGGGCTTCCCAGATCGGTTAGAGTCCATAGGAGAGGCCTCCCAGTTGGAGAACTCCTCAGAAGTTAGCGTTGGTTCGAGGTCTCAATGACTTGGGATCGGGTGGAAGCGGTTGTTTAGTCCATAAACAATTTGTGGGGTTTCCTAAGTGTGCTAGCCAGGAGCTAATCGATTGGGTGAATGGATATGGATGGTTTGGCCTGATTGAAAGCTCATTCCATGAATGCCAACCAGGCAAGCCTTCTTTTATTGTTATTTCCGCCATTTCGATGAACATTTTGGTAATAAAGTATGGCAACAGGAGCCTATAAGTGTTGAATGAACCCGTTCCTAAGGTCCACGTTTTGATTTCAATTAGTCGGCAGGTAGTCGTAATCGTATGGCTACCGCATGCCATCCCGGATAATGTTCCCCGTCGTGGAGTAGGCAGCTCTTGCGGGGAACCGATATAATGATCGCTTGGGCAAGCCCGATTCCGTATGAGAAGCCGAGCTTTGAACTTACAATTGGGGTTCTCATACGGTCAAGGTTTTCATCTAGGCTCCGTGATAGTTAATGATCTCGATCTCTGAAGCTATTGGTCTTCTGGTTTTCCACCGCCTTGACCTAAGAAACTGTGGACAGCTGTGCTTGGACATAAGTTGTCCTATCGATTCCTGGTCATTCAGTCACTGCAGTGAGTAAGATGAGAGATCATGTACAGGACACACTCTTAGTCGATTGTTTGTTAGTTCAAAATGAATTTTATTGTTCCATGTTCACTCAGAGCTAAGAATAGCTCTTTCGCTTATCACCTCGTCCACATCAAAGTCGTCTGAGAATGTAAACCTTTTTCTTTTCGGGCGTAAACATTACACGACATATTTCCCGCAGATACATCTCAGCTTCACAACTCAGGGCTCGTATCGTTCACTAGCCGATACAGCGTATCCTCGGAGCCGTTCGTTTTTCTGTCTGGAAGTAGAAGCATCCCCAGCAGCACTGTTTAGCCTTGGCAGGACCCCTGGAGCCCTAGCTGACCAGATGGACCAGCAAGTTCTTCTCTTTTCTCTGGATCATCAAAAATTCGTCAAGGTTCTAGCTGTTCGTGGTATGCAGTAGGTACTCATCATAACGAGTCTACGTCGTATCCAGCCTCTCTGATGTCTCTGCTCGGGCAGTATCTACGCTTGGCATTCCTGGTCATCCGTCTGGCTATCGAAAAGACCGTTGCAAGCCAGAAGGGCAAGAGATGCATGGCATATTTCACCGCCCTCGTAACGTTTTCCTGGTTTAGCTTTAGGCTTCTCTGAGCAAGTGTTCAATTGGCTACAGTTTACCTGAGACATCGCCCATACCCGACTTGTATGCAGTCTTACAAGAAGTCCCTTGGAAAAAACGTTTTCGTGGCTTCTCCATTTTCAGAATTTTTCGAGGTAGGCGTCTAGCGTGAGCAAGTAACTGGTTTGGGTAGGAATGAAGCGGCCTCTGGTCAACAGACGATGGCATCAAAGCTATCAGAATAGGCGGTTTTTCTGGATGGGGCTTGAACCGCCAAGGCGGCCAATCATGTTTGAGCGATAGCGGCGCTCCCTGTCATTAAGCCACACTATTACTATTAATGACCGCTATTTCAGCGATGAAGACCCCGATCATGCAAGCGGACTGTGTGTGCTGACCAGCCTAGCTCTCTCACTGCTGACCATCTATCGTTTGTGATAGGCCCCCCTATAGTTACCGTATGCATTGGCAAACCATCGATGACGTCATTAGGTTTGTTTTCGGTTGAACTTTAACTTACAAAAATAGTCGAGGGACTACTAATATACCAGTGACTTATTATTGATTACTTGATTACTGTGATAGTGCATGTTACTTGTGCGTTTTATTGATTTGTATTGATCTTTCTACTCCATGTGCGATTACTTTTCCTAGTGTAATTGATTTAACGCCAAAATAGATAACTTTGTATATGCAATGAAAATCAAATAAATCTGTCCTACTGACGGTGATGGGTGAGGTGAGATCATTGATTTATTGATTTCCTCCCCAGAAATCGATCGATATGTACCCACTGACGTCGTCGTTGGTTACTTTAAAGGATGAATGGGCATGGTCTTGGTGACTCCATCATTTGTTCTCTTGACGTTTCTTTTGTTTCGAACAAGTTTCACAGTATCGATCGATTCGTGGGAAGCATTCGAAAACGGGTTTCGTCGTATTGATTGATTGATGATTATCGTCAACTTCTGGGCTACTTTCACCTTGGAGCTAGGCTCCACTATAGCCCGGATCATTACTTCCTTTCGAGTCTGTTTTTAGCTAAAATTCGTTTCTGTGGTTGTTTGGATTCCTTGGAACAAAATCTAGCCAAATTCGGTGTTGGTCAGCCATATAACCACTTGCATGGTCAGCCATTTCTCCCTGGTATAGCTCGCTTGAAAGCTTTTTCTCGTTTTCATAGTTTTTCTAGAACGTTGTGGCAACTTTTGGAGTTTAGATCAGCTAAATATCTGGGTGCTGGACTTGTTGCCCAGGATTTCGATACTTTTGTTGAGTAGGTCGCTAACCGGAAACTGATAGATTTTCTTAAGTGTTCAATTCAGCGCCAGAGGAGTTAATTTCTCGTCGTTTTCTTTGTTTTTTCTTGCTTCGCCGACCTTTCAAAGAACACTTGAACAACATGTGTTGACCACATGTTGCAGTAGTCGCTGCTGATATTCTGTTATGTGTTGATCAAGATATCGCTGGGATGCACGATTTCATCAGCAAAGTGCGGTCTAGTTCCACTAACCCTTTCGTTAGAAGCTTTATTTGTTTTTGACCTGGTTTTATGCCTAAAAAGTCCCTCCATCAGTATCTCGCGTTCAGAGAAACTTTTAGAGGAAAGCCTGCTGCGGCACGCTCTTCTGAATGTATACAATGTTTGGATTGGGAAGGACTTCATAGATGTGCTCCCCAAGTGGGTGCTAAGATTGAACTAGCTAGACAGCTTGTCGATAGCATGGGTTCAGAGAGCCGATGAGGGTGAAGTACGTGGATGATTTTGAGAATAAGGCTGACGTTGTACCACGGTAGAACGTAGCTCTTGAGTAGAGCTATGATCAGCTCAAAGATGGGTCGGTTTTCGAAGAGGTTGGATCCAGATCTAGGCAAAGGTGTTAGAAATTAAAAAAAA